TTTTTGGAAAAAGTCGTTGAGGTCATCTTGTTCACATTGGCAAACGTTGAGTCTACACTATTGCACCATCACTACTTTGACAGCTAAAATTGACTTCACGTTTCCGGAAGGCGCCTTTTGGTGAAGATGAGGCGTACAAGCAACTGAGGTAGGGAGCCGTGTTGTGGATATGGTGGAGGAAACCACGACAGATGACGCGATTCGAAGCTCAAAGTGACGTGTTGGTGTGCTTGTGGCGTCGGTTTGAGGTTAGTCAAATCTCTTCTCATAAATTTACTGGTTAAACAGCTTCTTAGTGTGCATAGTCGAGCAAAAGACTTTCCCACTTTGACACTTAAGAATGAGGCGCATGACTTTATGTAAGGATTGGCAGTGTGACCACCACATTAGTGGTGTAGGTGTCTTGTTGACTAAGTTCGAAGCCATTGGCGTGGGAGCAAAATGTGGGTGTCATTGCAAGACTAAAATAAGTTTACCAATCTTATGCAGACCTTTCCATAAGTCACTGCTTAACATAGCACAAACAGTTGTCCGCTGACGATAAACTGGAAATCTAATGATATGCCTCCGAGATGCCTCCACTACAGCCCCTACTAGACCCGTTTTCACGAAATGTTCGATATAGGATGTGTCACCTAATCCATCTACCGAGTTTAGCTAGAGCACACGCCTTTCCTCATTGTAAAGCTAATGCCAGAAATGCAAGTTTGATGGAAGAGGTGCGAGAAGTAGGGCATCGAGATGCGACAGATCGTCACACACTGGCTCCTGACTCTGAGGCAAAGAGGCAATGTGACACGCAAAGCCTGTGAACTTCACCTTCTACAGCCTTAATGTTTTTTTATTTTTTTTTAATGCTAGAAATAAAATTTGCGCATCATGCATTTAGGTACGTCCCGCAGATAAATAGAGAAGGAGAGGTTCATGTTGAGACAAAGCAATTAGGTTTATTCGTCAATACAAACTGGTTTACTATGAGTTTCTTTAACTCGCTTTCGATAAAAAACTGTCATGTGGGACAACAAAATGGTGCTCCTTCAGACTTGAATATTTGTCTGACGTCGATGGAGGAAGGCTGTGATGTTTGAAGGGGTCGCACTTTTACGCACATCTTTGAAGTCAGTCGGCACAGGAGTGGAATTATGTCACCCCGGTGCCACAAGTCTCGGTCAAGTTGTTCGTCTCGTGGTTATTCATAATTTCAAAGGACACCTCCTTTGAGGTGGCCGGACAGACAGCGGCTCAGACGAAGAGGTAAAACACCTTTTTTCAATCTTGTTTTCCCCAATGGGGCACTCGGTAGCTAAAGCATTGTAAAATCGAACGGTTTGTTCTCAAGACTAGGGAACCAATCTTGTGCCAGTCTTCTAAAAATGCCGATTTCATGCGATTTTGCGTCGCACTTGATCACGCAACGCTTTGGCGTAGGGAAGAGGCGATGATAAATGGTGTCTCCCGTGCTTTCCTCCTTCTGTCCTAAAGTGTGGTGCAGTGCCTTATTTTAGCTCCCCTCGTTTCATCTTCCCTTTAACTTTCGTTCCATGAACACCAATTGAATAGGAAAATAATTTGTAGGATTAATGGAACAACATCCGCAGGAATTGCAGTTGCAGAAGCCACAGCCCGAAATTGCATTGAAAAATGTTATTGCGGCAATGAATCATTTGCAGGTGCAGTGCATCCACGAGGATCCTCTGCGCTCCATCAAGAAGAATAACATTCAATTAAGTAGAGACTAACACTGAGACGAGTTTAATCTGGAAAGTGGTGAAAGTCGTCCTTGGATGGAAAGCATCGCAGAAAAAGAAATGAAGCAAATGGATACCGCTAGAATAAAAGGAAGCTTTAAGGGCTCAAAGTTATTCGAGAGTCCAATGACACATGATGCGAAGAGAATGTTGTAGAGCATCTTTAAAATTGTGGGGAATATGCAACCTCTTTTTTGTCTCCCTTCTCTCCTCCTTAATATTTGATCAAATTTCAAGCGATTAACGACTTCCCTTCAAAAAAGACAATAGTCCAAACGAAAATAGAAGCTGAGTTTGTGGGAGCAAAACTGCCTCTAGACTTCCAGCAACTAAATGGTGTTACTTTTCATGATCCGAAGGTTATTCGAGGAGGTGGAACCACCAAGTCTGACTGTGCTTCCCAAGAATCAAGACGTAACGTCAACCTACCCTCATGGGGGATTTGATTGAAGTGCGTTGGAGGTGATGAAATCGGGACAGGTTTGGAAAATTCGCCTCCCGATTCCTCCATGGTATGGCTAAATGATTCAACTCCTGTATTTTTCATTTTTTGCATCATAATGTGGATGGCGTGGTTAAATGAGAAACAATTATCCCCATGAGTATCGGAAGATTCAATCAATCCATTTGAGAATCAAATTTCCCCTTATTCACAGATCGAATTGTCAACATTATGAGTAAGGAGCCAATGAAGTAGAGGATGCCGTCCATCATGCTGCCACCTATGTAGTGGCTGACTCAGCATCGGAGACCTTCTACAACTCATAACTCCAATTCTGGATGGCCAGAATGAGCTAAGAGGTGGGCTTTCACTTCGCAGCTAGGCGGCTAGTTCCACCGTTGCTAGCCCCAGTCAAGACCTACTATGGTGAGTGTGAGTGAGGCGCTGTTTCGGTGCTGCATGACGCTGAAAGGAGAATGTACTCATCTGCTCGGATAGGCGTTAAACGGTAAGCTTTAACAACATCGAAACAACACCTGCATTTCTTTGGGAAATGGGGGTGGCGATGGATTGTGCAAGTGCCTTATTGACTCCATGAGAATGAATAGGTGCAAGGTGTAGTTGTTGAGGTACGTTGTGGAGTGAGGCAAGTGAAATACTTTTTGGGAGTAAAGGGAGAAAGTCAGGGGGAAGGAAAGTGGATCAATTTTGGTCGTCAGCACTTAAGAGAAGAATCCTTCCTTTTACGAAGATTCAAGTATATCCTTTCCTCTCTAATTATATTGCGTACTTATGCGTTATATTTCGGATATACCTCCACTAAAAATCCATCCAAATTAGCGACATGTACAACTTTACCGTTTCAAGGTCTTCATCACCCACTTTGATCAGTTGTTCTGCGATTCCAGAAGGGACAAATCAATTAAATGGCGAAGGTGCGCTTTCCATCCGTAAGAGCCTTTGTCTAGTGATTCTGCAAAGCTCGTTCCTCTTGTGTTTTGTCAACGCCGCTCCCAGCTATCCTGTATTTGCCCATGCTGCACTCATTCACCTATCCACTCATCTAGTATTCAAGCATGCACAAATTAATCTTCGAAAGCATGTATATTTTGGGTGGCTTTATTACTGCAGCGAATTAACATCCTATAACCGAATAAACTCCTTTCAATTTTACAAATTTCCGTTAACGCCGGTCCTTTCATTTCTTTCATTACCAAAGTAGCATCTTTTTATCCTCCACCTCTCAATCCGATTCTTTATGGTTATGGAGTAGTGTAAATGTATCCGCGCACTCCTTTCAAGAGGAGCAATGCATCGAAAATGCTGAGCACTTTGGGGTGCAAAACCGCAGGAGTACGGCAACGTTTTCTTTACCTGTTCAATCCCTCTCTCTCTACCTTATGGGTATGTATTTGTACACCTCTAATTATTACTTACAGTGCACAGGTAGAAGTGCACAATCATAAACAAGTTCATGTCGTAGGCATTGAACGTGCATTTACACGCTCTTGAATACACCCCAAACATCTAATGCATGTAAAGGAGGTTACTTTTTTAACTGACTTTACAATTTTTATTGACACTCCCAAAATTTATACTGCGAATCATAGCAAACTCGAAATCGATTGGCTGATGTTGGTCAATAAAAACGGCGATTTTATAGTCCCTCATTTTTATTGGTCAATTCAGCAGCTAAAATGACATTAAACATGCTTTGAGCCTAACCTTCACCGAAAAATCGTGGAAGATTCGCTGTAGTTCCCTTGTTATTCCGTGAGGCGGTGGGTCAGAGGATCGAATCTATTAAAGTACTGCACTAACAACTATCGTGCCACCAACAACTTGAAGGCACGGTTTGGTGCCCACACTCTTCTCTACACGATGTGCAAAGGAACTTGTAAGGTTAGAAGAGAATGTAAAGGCCAACCAGGGTAGTCCTAATCAATGGCTACTTGAAAGCTGTGGTGTTTGAAAAAAACTTGGCGACCAGGTAACCTAATATACGTCGATCACGTCACGCCACTGATATCCAAAAGGTTTGTGCTATGTTTATCCAGACACTAAAGTTGGGCCAGTCCCTATCACATAAGTCATCCTCCATGAGGATGGCATGAAGCTCTGCGTATACCATTAGTGCTAGTGATCACACAGCAAGCCGTTGTCACACTTGTGTGCATTACAACAACTCTAGAGGCGAAGTCGGTGTTAAACTTCTTACAACCCAATAGAAAGAATTTCAGCTCACCTCTATCAGCAATCACCGAACTAGCCACTTTGGTAGAGAGGTGAATAATCTTCCAGACACTATCTGAACCATTCGTGTGCACGAGAAAGGGACAAGCATGATGATCGTGAGACATCATTCAGACTTTTACGATTAGTCGAAAAGCTGAAAGAAACTACGGAAAGGAAGTGAGTCAAGGAAGACTATTAATGGAAAACTAAGGCTATGGAGCTAAACTAATGGTCTTTCAGTAACTCCAGTTCCAGTTTCCAAACCAATGACATGGAGACCTGTTTCTACTCCCTATACCAACCAACTTTCGGCTATTTTTGCATTTCTTTGAATATGAGAACTGAAATTGTACAACAACTGCCACATCATTAGCGCAATCTACAAACGAGTCCTCTGGAGCGATGGATGCGACTGGAAATCGAATGATCAAGTATATTCAAGGGCTACCGATAGACCAGAACTTAATCAGTTCCCACTTAACTCCAGCAAGACCATATCGTCGTCAAAGTACATAACGCGTATTCAAGCCACCAAGGGGTAGAGGATCTGGCACTTACACGCAAAAGGGAAGCACTCAAGGAGGCACAGAGGCAGGGTTGGTGACTGCAGGGGCAGCAGAATGATCATAGAATGCCACTGGCGGATGAGCAGTGTCAGTTCCAGAATGAGGGTGGATTGAGGGAGAGTCCGCGGAACCGCAGTTGTAAGTTGCACCTCCACTCGCTGAATCCCGCGTAGAGGCAGCAGGCCCCCTTGGGGCAGCAGTGGTAGTGCTCGTGGCGCCGTAACCAATGCCCGCCCCAGACCCCGAAGAGGTCATGTTTGCCTGTCGACCTCGAGCAACTTCGCTAAGGATCACCCAGGCACCTTCCAAGTTTTCCTTCCACAATGTGACCTTCAGCATCAGTGAAGACAATAAAATGGACTCCGAGGTACCAGTTACGGAAATATTGTCTTTATCTGACGTTTCGAAATGCTTATTCATGCTATATCCCCTTCGTATACTACCAAAATCACGTGTTTAGATCACTGATCAGCTCCCATTTTAGGTAATCATGTCGCTTTTAAGTTGGAAATAGCAGTGAACAAAACTGAAGTAAAAATAGGCAGACAAAGCCACTTTAAACCCACCCACATGCGAAAAGATTATTCGGTAAGGCAAAGAAACAATCTGAAGAGCAGAATACATAATTTCCTCATCACGGAATTTCGTAGTTGGACGTCATCTACTTGCTAAATGCTGACAGCGAGAGATAGGGAAAAAACTGTCGATTTTAAATGTTGCTAGTTAAGTATCATCCTCTCTGCAAAGGCAGGTTGGAGGTGGATGTCTGGATAAAACATAAACTGTCTACAGCTAGGCGATCAAGAGTTCGTAGAGTGTACAGAATCAACTCGGACAGCACTAGGACAGATCCACTAGGAAGGATTGAAAGCATGAAGCTTCTTTCCCAATTCGGTTGTGGCGAATGCAAATCATTGGTACCGTTATTCTTCTTCTGATACCCCAAAATTAGGATTGGATCAAGACCTTTGATGTTTTTATGAGCTACCGGAGACCTAAAAATGAGTCCATTCACAGTTCTCATAAAGGGGCTTACTCCCTGTTTCAACCAGGTACTCCCCACTTGCTGAATGCACATACCAATGGCCACTGTGTTGGACGTTGAGAATCACCAAGGTGAAGGCCGTTGCTGGTGCAATTCCCACCATCATAACACATCGCACTTGAAATCTCCTGCACAAGCAGACATCCACGATTCTCTCGCCTTTGTTCGCCAGGGACCGTTCATTGCTGCACACAATTCCAACACTACGCTCACTATGCCTATTGTTTGTCATCTTGATGAATGGTGCGCTAATACTTTAGAGCACAAACGTTGAGAGCAACAGAACACTTTGAGGCCACGTCATCAACCAATTTGAGTAGTTATGATTTCACAAACGCCTCAGACAGAACGGAATACGCGTATTAATGAGATTAAATTCTAGCACTCTCTTACATCATGAAAGGTAGGCAGCAGGGCGATGGAATAGACAATAAATGAATGAGAACAATCAAGCAAGTAAGCCAAGACTCATCTGATTACTTTACCAGACACGAAAGAGAGATAAAAATGCCAGCACCAGCAACAACAATGGAAAGGCATGCGTTGAGGTAGAGAGGTTAAAATTTACAAGAAAATATTACACTGTGTGACGACCTTGAAGTGAAATTAGATGAGATAAGCTGCTTTTGTCAACCAACCAACCAGTTGTTATGCCAAATGCGCTAAAACCACTTAGAAATGAGACAACGAATCACCGAAATCCGAAAAGGTCCTAAGGTCCGGTCCATCCTCAAAGCTCTGGACAGAGAAGTTCATGAAAAAGAGTTCCTCAATTCGAACTCTCTCTTTCTAGGAGTGAATTAAGGAAAGATTGTTCATGAGTAAATAAGCGAAGAGGACTGTGTTCTCCGTCGTGGAGGCAAAAATCGGAGTGTAACAGAAGGAGGGGCCCAAATTAATCGCTATCGGCGCAATTGGTCCAAACGTCTGAACAAACACAGGCGCAACTAGGAGGAGATTGTTGGATTCATCTACCTTGAAATTAGGTAAAGAAGGCGTCGGGGGGATGAAACGACATGACGCTGAGATAGCATGTTTTGTTACAGAGATGGAGACTACGCTTTTCCATGGGTAAACAGTGTAAGCTAAGAAGAGTGCAAAACTTTTTAATGACCCTTTGTTCAACTCCCATAAATCACTGTCATTCTGTGTCAAGCCAGTACATAAGCAAAATGCACAACCGCTGAGCGCTCACCACCTGAAAATCGCTTACCGCGTTAATCGCTCAAAAACAGTGAATACAAAAGAAAACACTGCAAAACCACACTGATAAGGTGTGCAGCTCGGTTGCAAAAGCAACCCCCGAACGGGAGTGTGTCGAGAGGGCAGCTCTTGAAACCTGGTGGGAGGATTTTTTTCCCAGCTCTTGCGAAAAAAGCAACGTCAAGGGAACTCGGTTGCCCTGGATTTGCTAATGACAAAAACAAGCCAAAATAAGTTTTTCTATTCAGACATCATCTCTTAGAGTAAAAAAAATTGTTAATTTGACGAGCTTTATTATAGTGGTAAAAAGCAGATAATTTCAGTCCCCTGTGCTTTGTCTGGATCGAGTTATGTGGAGGACAATGTGATGAATCCGTGCCGGTCGAAGTGGTAGACGTGAGCCAATGAAAAACGCGGATTCATGCATTAAAGGTCATCTCAAGGTTACAGAAGAGCTAGACATTCTAGCACCGTTAAGTGCTTGACTGCGTCAAAAAATAAAGCCATGAATCCTAGCCTTGGTCAGGATGTTGAAAAATGCAGAACGAATTTCTTCACCGACTTTCGGGTGCCCACAAAAAAATTCATGCGACTTTCGGTAAATAGCCGACTGAGAGGATTTGCTACAGCGTACGGACACTCGCCAACACGGTCACAACCTCATTCATACCAATGTCAGGATAATATCGGTACAGAGCTCTATATATTGGTTGCCACCAGCGCCTGCCAACTCTGGCTCAAACCCGCATCCGCAAAGATTTACCGAAATTGAGTAGTAGCTGTGGCTTGAGTGTGTCGGTTCCAAACCTGAGTACGCAAGCCGGATGATGAGCACGTCAATTTCACTGCGTGGTATTTAAGGAAGATGGTAGCAGAGCTTGCCGCCCGGAAGAGTTTGAGATAAACAATTTGACAGTGACGATGAATCACTCAAGGACTCTTCCACCCTCCATTTTCTGATGGTGATGAAAAATGACGTTTCATTGCTTGTGGGCTGAAACAGTTGGAGAGCAGCCTGACGCAAATAGCCTCCAGCTATAGTTAGCCTCATCCCCTGAGAAGGAGACTACAAATCGATTGGGTTCCATTCAAAGACATTAAAGGGTGGCAGATTTGGGTGGAGGAATACATTGCTAGTAAACTTCACCCAACCACCTCACACGGACAGGTGTCACTCCATCCTCAGAAGCCGTTTTAAGCGTGAGGAATTATGAAGTGATGAGAACAACACAATGATCAGGAGTGGCATCCATGTAGTCAGCACAGTACAATTCAAATAAGTCCAGAACAAAGTCGCTTCCTTCGAAGGATAGCTCAAAACTTCATTTAGCTGTCGGCAGGTTCAGCACTGCGTTCTGGAATGGAAAAGGAGGAAAACTACCTCCTCTAGATTCGCCTGATGTTATTCACTTTTTCGTGACGCTAAACAATCATATAATCACACGAGGAATGGGGAAAAAGTTAAAAAAAAGCGAGACCGGAGTGGAGATGGGTAAAATCAGAGGTTAACAGTTGTTTTTTTGTCTCCTTAGGAAAGGATGACAGGTCACAATAATGACGGTCTCCACAATCCTTTTAGGATTAACTATTAACATTAATAATAATGGAACCGATTATAGGCATTTGTACTCTTATAGAGTTCAGCTTTCAAATCGTTCAATTTCTCTGGAGTTCCAAACAATGGAGGTCAACAGAAGTACCAATTATTTCCTTCGCCTTTTGGCACTTATGCTAGCACAAGATCTTATACTTAAGCTATATGAACAGTTAAAAAAGTTGGAGGCGGCTTAAGTGATTGCATAGACGGGGCTCAGAGATTCATTGAGAAAGCTAAATCATTTTGAACATAAATGTTGTCCATTGAAAAAGCAAAAAAAGCTTCCCTACGATGCAAAAAATTAAAGCGCCACAAGACATGAAAGAATGCAAAGAAGTTTCAACAAGAGAAATATGCGACCTGAGTTACCCTTTTTGGGTATAAACCGCAAATGGTGACAAACCCAAACACACTTGATCTTCAGACAGGGGTGAGAGAAAATCTCCGTCCCCAAGCAATGGTTGCATGCTTCCTCCGCCCCACCCTCACTACACGACCACCCAAGTTGCCAAAAAGACTCAGGAGAAGCAACATCACCCGCAGCACTTGAAACTGCAGCCAGTTAGACACAAGGCGGAGGAAGGGGGACAAGGGGGCAGGAGAGCAGACATCGGTCAGTGCTGCCTACTTTTTAATTGCTAAGTGAACGAATCAAACCAATGTCGCTAGACAGTTTTAATTTGGGGAAAAGAGACTGATTAATAAACCGTACAAATGTTTACCTCGTATAAGTACAAAATTATACCAGCTAAAGGAAATTCTGATCTGGATTCCCAACAATAGGAAGAGGGGAGATATAAACGTCAGTTTTGTCAGCAAAGGGAGACAATGGCTGAATAATGAATGCTCACCTGAGGAAGTATGACGGCAGAGTGGTCAAGACAACTATGACCGTCATAAGTCCTCAAATGGATCACAATTAACGACGGGATGAAGTCATAATAGGCATGAGATCTCTGCTCAACCTCAGCTTTGTGAAAGAGAGTGACTCTTGGGATCATGTGCTTGCTTACCTTTCGCTGCCAGAATAAGGGAGAAGACAAGATTGATCCGAGGAGAGGTTTCAGGCGATGACCGATAGCCCAAGAACAAAACTGCAACACAAGTACTATCCATTGTTTCAATGTATTCCTTCAACTGCATATTTGTTATAGTGCTTTTCAGTGTGGATCGTAGTTGCTTCCGCCATGGTTGCACATCAAGACTTTAAATCATTCAAGTCGAGCTTTGTCCTATTACCAGATAGAAGTGAGAATGATGTAGATAACCATTATTAGTGGCAAATGTTGCTTGTAGACAATCTCAATTCCAAACCCTGTGGCACTATCGAGAAGCCTATGCTGCAGAGAAGAGATATTTGCAACTGAATGTCAGTGCCGAACCTTCATTTTCACATTGATTCCCTAGACTACTTGCACTGCTAAGGTGCAAAGGCCACAATAGAAAGCAGTGAGAACGGCATGAGAGGTCACGAAACACTACCTATTTCCACAG